TTCTTGAGTTGGATGGCTAAACCACGTTGCTGATACTCCTTTGCTTGTTCAAGGTCACCTAAGTCCTGGTGAATTGAAGCTAGGTTACCGTAGCTTGTTGCAACAGAAACATGTTCAGCACCAAGCTTCTTGAGTTGGATGGCTAAACCACGTTGCTGATACTCCTTTGCTTGTTCAAGGTCACCTAAGTCCTGGTGAATTGAAGCTAGGTTACCGTAGCTTGTTGCAACAGAAACATGTTCAGCACCAAGCTTCTTGAGTTGGATGGCTAAACCACGTTGCTGATACTCCTTTGCTTGTTCAAGGTCACCTAAGTCCTGGTGAATTGAAGCTAGGTTACCGTAGCTTGTTGCAACAGAAACATGTTCAGCACCAAGCTTCTTGAGTTGGATGGCTAAACCACGTTGCTGATACTCCTTTGCTTGTTCAAGGTCACCTAAGTCCTGGTGAATTGAAGCTAGGTTACCGTAGCTTGTTGCAACAGAAACATGTTCAGCACCAAGCTTCTTGAGTTAGATGGCTAAACCACGTTGCTGATACTCCTTTGCTTGTTCAAGGTCACCTAAGTCCTGGTGAATTGAAGCTAGGTTACCGTAGCTTGTTGCAACAGAAACATGTTCAGCACCAAGCTTCTTGAGAAAGATGGCTAAACCACGTTGCTGATACTCCTTTGCTTGTTCAAGGTCACCTAAGTCCTGGTGAATTGAAGCTAGGTTACCGTAGCTTGTTGCAACAGAAACATGTTCAGCACCAAGCTTCTTGAGTTGGATGGCTAAACCACGTTGCTGATACTTCTTTGCTTGTTCAAGGTCACCTAAGGCCTTGTGAATTAAAGCTAGGTTACCGTAGCTTGTTGCAACAGAAACATGTTCAGCACCAAGCTTCTTGAGTTCGATGGCTAAACCACGTTGCTGATACTCCTTTGCTTGTTCAAGGTCACCTAAGTCTTGGTGAATTGAAGCTAGGTTATCGTAGCTTGTTGCAACAGAAACATTTTGGTCACCCAATAGCCTGATGCAAATAGCGAGAGAATTTTCCAAGTATGTTTTTGCCACGTTAAATTCACAGTGCATTTTACATATATCGCCAAGATTCGACAATTTTTCAGAAATGTCCTGAATATGGACTTGAGACATATTTTCTGTCATAATAACTGTATTAATTGGTACAATAAGGGCGCTTACGTGCGGAATGATGTGCATAGTGTCCATTGTTCTATTTTCGTGTGGAATTGTGACTATAAATTTGTTAAACGATGTAACAGCTTCACTTACAACCTTGATTGTTTGATTTTTTGTACGGTCACTCATTACCCATTTCATTGCGTCGTGCACAACCTGATGTACACGAATGTAGTAGCAACTATCTTCGTCTTCCTCTAAAAGAAGCAGTGAACATCTTCTGAATCTCCCGCGAATGTGTTCCTTGTCCTCTTGGTCATCGTGGTCGAGAACGTTTATAAGGTAACTAACCGCTATGTCAACGTTTAATGGTTGTGGTGCACACAGGGAAAGAAATCTGAATAGGTGTTCAAAGAACTTGTCGGATTTGACTTGTGCTTCGACAGCTAACCTTATTGCTGTAGTCATCGTATTTGGATAAATTGGGTTGGTATCAGCAAGGGTATCCTCGGTCGTTTCTAGTTTTCCTTTTTGTAAAATCTTTAGGTATTCGTCCCAGCCAAAGTGCTTCGATGCTTTGTCCTGTCGAATGTCTTTGACAAACACAGCCGCGCCTGCTATAGCAAGTGGCTGATAGTCCAATTTCTGGGCAACGTTTTGCGCTAGCTCGTTGTCGAAGACCCCAGAAAGCTTGGCCAATAAGGAAGTGGCATCGTAAGGATTCATTCCTTGGCTTACTGAAATGTGATTGATGAAAGAGCTTTCTAACGGGATGGACTTTGTATCCGTGGTTGTAATTAACAACTGACCTCTTGCCCACGTCTCGGTTCCAGACTGTGGTAGGTGATCATGTACAAAAGTCAGTTTAGTCACATTGTCCACCACCATTAGCCACGACGCGTAACACCAAATTTTTGCAGCAATAAGCATCTTGAGATTGGCAATCTTCTCCTCAATGTTCCAATCCTTAGAGCTCAAGGTTTGCATCACTGAAAAGTCTGGGCACTTTAACTGGCGAGCAAAATTGGCATATGACTCCAAAAGTGACTCTTGACTGGCAGCGTTTATGGTCATCACAAAGGACGAAGTGTCTGGTATTTCTTTTACTTCATCAAAGAATCTTTCAGCGACGAGGCCAGCTAGTTGTGATTTGCCACTTCCTGGATTCCCTGAGATGTACAGATAACTCAACCTGTTCTCGTTGGCCTTCTTTAGTTCCCTTAGCTGATGGGCTATTTGTGCTGCTTCACTTTCACGGCTTTCAATTTCGTGTGTAGGTTTAGGAGGGAGAATACAGAATGAAGGCGCTTCTTTCTGAAGCTGATCTTCAAGAACCTGGCGCTGGTTCTCTTTTTCTTGAAGTTCCTGTTTAACATCGT